GTATGAAGCCACAGCTGGACCAAATATTAAGCAGTGTTAACTTTTGTAGGATGTGATTGGCAGAGAGGAAGGAGAGGTGGATTTTACTGTGATGAGTGAAACACTTTCTTTTAGTCCCTTTAGCTAAAATTCTGTATCAGAATTTTGTACTATTTTCTTCTTTCCCTTATTCTCCTCCTTTTGTCTGGCCTGAAGACCTAAGAGCAAATGGAAGTAACTCCGTGAGGTTGATTAAAACAAGTACAGAATGGCTGCAAAGTGAAAAATCTAACAGAAGCTAAACACCTGAAATTCCTAGCTGATCTTTTTCATATGATGGAAGATAATATTTTCTTTTCTTCTGTCGACAGGGATTTTCCAAGACCTCCTCAGCTAGGGCCATCAACTCAGATAAACTGAGACTGTAAATTGTCAGTAATTTGAAGTACATGAACTATTTTAAAAATTCAGAAAGACTGTAAATATTATGCCTAATTTTCACAACTGGTGGGCACTATTCTGAGGGTAATATTCCTCCCCTCTCATGCTATTCTTAATCAAATTTACTTTGCACATTAAAATAGAAAAATATGAATTTTCACTTCCAGTTAGAAACTCTAAATTATTACTAGCAGGAAGAGTTCAACTAGAGGCAAAACAAGACAGTGAAACAGAAAGTCAACAGCCAATTAATATGCTAAATGGGATCAAAATGTCACCTAATGGAAAAAATTCTGCTGTCTTAAATCTGAATCTGAACTTCTGGGTTCAAAATGGCTTAAACATACCGCTGAGTCCCACAGATTGGGGAAGAATATGAGTTGACACGACCGTGATCCTAAACTTTACAGATGACATGTGTGTCCAAATAAATCAGCCTAATTCAGCCCTGATGAGATTTAGAATCAACCTAGAGTATGGGGTTGGATTTTAGAATTTCTGAAGGTTTTTGTCACCCAAAGAAAGAGATAGCCCTTAAGGAAAGTCAGCACATCTATGACGTCCTTAGAAGTCAAGTGGATACAGGAAGAACTTTAGGTTAACCAAAATGGGCAGAATCCATTATTTTTCATGAGATAGTACATGCTGTCTTCCATTACATAAACCCTCAGCAAACTCAACACTTTTCCCACCTACTGAAGTTGAAACAAAGTAAGTGAGATTATATTGGTCAAAGCATAGATTCTGCTAAATGTACTTGTAGGCTCGAGTTTCTTTAGCTTCAATGTATGAAGAGAGGAGAAATCTAAAAGATAAAACTAAACAACTAGGAAAGAATTATTCCTTTGCTAAAAAGCAGACCACCTTGACACTATCTGAATATTTATTTATGGGCTAGTTTCAAATATACATACATACATACTTACTTACATACTTAGTCATATATTGATTTATATTTTACTTTATTTTGGAAAGGATTTATGTAAAACAAAACAAAATCAAGAGAGAATGTTTCTAAGTTCAATATTTGGCACAGAGGAACTTCTCTGCACTGTGAGCTATTAAGCAAGCCTTGTGAGAGCTGATGCTTGAAGAGCAGTGGCTCAAGAAAAGGATACGGGCAGTGGAAAGAAGGGATAAAAGTCCCCATGCGAAGCCAAGGTGCCATGATCACCCCAGTTTTCCTCTTGTTTGGAATTAGGTGTCAGCATCACTAAGACATTATGAGTAATCAAATGTGGCCCTTTAAGTTCACCTGGCCCTTAAAAAAATGAAGCCAGACATCACATAAGCAGATAGTCAACCCCCATCCACCACCACTGTTCCCACATCTTCCTCTGGTACCCTCCACGGGCACTCTGGCCACACTGAACACACTGCCCTCAGCAGGGGTCTCTGGATTCTTTCTGCCACTGTCCTCTCAGTCTATTATAACAAGGATACCAAAGTATTCAAATACTATAAATGGCCTCCTAAATTTCATAATTTTGTTGTATTCTCCATAGCCCTGGAATGAAATTATTCTGCAATGAAAATGACTACATTGTCACATACCCAATTGTACAACATCGGTGCATACCTTTTAAGTAAGGCAAAAGCTGTGGACATATGTTATACTATATTATGTCATTCTTTTTTAAAAATACATGATTTTAATGTAACACAAGTAGATATTAATAGGGAAAACACAAAAATATTCTTCTTACTTCTATGAAAAAATAAAATGAAATTTCCTAACAATAGTTAATGGACTATATGCAACAATCTTCCAAGAATGCCCCAGATGTCACTCAGTCTATATTATAGCCTTCTTCATAGGCTCTTATATTTGGTTCCCAGTCATGACGTTTCTAACAAGTACTCCTACTTGCTTCAAGATGAAATTTAAATTCCTAGAAAGCTGACTTGCATTTTCCCTCTTTCAACCAACCCCAGACCCATTGTGGAGTGGCCAGGCTACCAGCCTCTGCTTGGGACTAACCAGAGTAAAACACAGGAGCTCTATAGGCCATGTTTACGCAGTGAGGCAAGCCCTTATCTTTGTTTGGCTTGGCAGTAAAGAGCAGAAAAGTGTAATGGAAAGAAGCCTTCGCAATAAAATCCCCCAGCAAGTATTTCTAATGTAGCGTCAAACAAGAAAGACACATTCTGTGCAGCATTCCTACTGTAGCTCTCACTGTAGTGTTTCAGTAAGCCAAGGAACAGGACTGATTCTTCACTTGGACTTGCAACCAGTGAACGATGAGTTTGTGACACGACTGTATAAGGATGGACATGCCAGCCTTAAGGCAGGAGGTGGAGCGTTTCTATAAGAATGAAGAAAGGGGGAATCTTTAGAGAGAAAAAGACAACCTGGCAAGCACTTTCTTCTTAGTAGGAACGCTCATACACACACACAATCTAATCTAACACAGACTCACTCAGTAGGTTAAAGGGAAGTAAGAGTCAATAAACACGTAGAGTCTCTTCGTGCAGTATTGAAAGGTGACATTATAAGTAAGAGCAAAACAATAAATAGGGAAGTTGGGAACCAGGCAGACAGAACACTAAGTGGGTCACCTGAAAAACAACAACTACAACAATGCACCACCACCTTCCTCCTTTGAGTCTAATGTCTCACTGATGAATCCTTCTAAGGTTCTTAGGGAAGAAACGATGCACAGAGCACGCACATTCCACATGGGCTCAGGGTGACACAACAGCAACTGATAGATCACACAGTGAAACAGATGAAGGGTGGCACAGTTTCAGGTACAAGAGAAAAACAACAAGACTTTCAACTCTTTACGGCTTTCAAACATAGGTACTATACATCTAGAGGAGCATGAATGAGCAAATTTGCATTCTTTCCAAAGCTACACAGTCGAGTTGCTCATTTCTTTTCCCAGCAAAAGTAGAGATGAGGTCGTGCAACAGCACAAAAGGTTTTCACAATGTGAAGCTTTCCAAAAGTATATGCATCCTGCCTATTACAACACAAACAAATAGACTGCTGCGATAGATGGAGTTCAAACAAAAAATGCTGCACTGTGGCAAGACACACTTTCCAGAAATGAGAATGACAAGTTTTCCCTCTAAATGCGTCTTAAAGCATGGCATAAAGTCTGGAAGAAAAATAAAAGAGTAAATATTTGACAGATTCCTACTACATGCCAAGGAATGTTTTCAGGACTTTGAATTTCAAGGATAAAGACTACTGATGTGGACCTTTGTGGAGGAATGACAAGAACTTTACTGCTGATGTCAGACCCTCACCAACAGGACAAGCAAGGTGACAGCACCAGGCCTCCTGGTGAGTCGGGAACTCTGGTGATGCAGTTGGAAAGGGGCCCTGAGGTCTGGACACACAGCACCCAGACTCCCTCCCAAGTACGTGCTGGCTAGGGACAGTGGCTGGGCCAGCAGAGAAGGCAGATACGCCACAGCACTCATTCTGCACATCCTCCTAGGTTAGAAAATGAGCACCTGCTCAGAGTGACAGAGGAGGTTCTCCATCCTCTCCTGCTGTATCTTTTTAGCTGGAACCAACCAGCAGGTGATTTGAGTGGTGTCTCAAACCACCCAGAAGCTTTTACTGGAGACCCTGCAATCAAAGTTAGAAACCCCTCAGCAACTTCTATTAGAATACCTGTTATTCTGCATCCAGCCACACTATTCACTGCAAAAATATATTTTGAAAATCAAACACAATAGCGTAACTGAAGCATCCCATGCTGGTACACAGAAAACCTTAAAATGTGCCTTAGGCATCCACAAAGTTTCTGTTCTGAGAATCTGAATCCAGATCACCCAAAGACATAGTTAAAAGGGACAATTTAAAACATGACAACTTTTGCCCTTACAACACTTTCCAGAATTAGTTCTTGTGCATGTTTATCCATAAACTCCCATAAGAAGTGGTCTGTAATACCACCAGTTCAGGGACCTTGCTCTATTGCATTGAGCCTTAATGCAGGATCAAATATCTGGGTTCCAAGTCACTTCCTCAAGAATCTGGGCACTTCATGATTCCTGGGTTAGAATTCTCCTGGAATTCTATTGGTTCATATTACCATAGAAATATTTCTTGAATGTCTAAAGTATTCTTAAATGTGTGACATTAACAGGCACCTGAATTATTTAAAATTGAGTCAGCGCTATAAGTTTCTCTTAATTTTCTTGAGATATTCAGGTCAATTGGTATTAGACATCAGAAATGCATATGTTCCCTTCTCTGAGGAATTTGCAAATAAAACAAAACAGAAAAATCAAATCTCAAACCTTCCCTCCCCATTATTCATCAGTTAATTAATTGCCAGTCTCAAAACACCCTCGACTCTCTTTTTTTTAAAAAAAAAAAAAAAAAAACTACAAAATGCTAGCAACTGTACATGTCCTCACATCTTCGTACTTGATTTGGATGTTTTATATTAGCAAGTAATCTTTTATTGTATAACCAATACTTTCTTAGACAACCATTGGCTTTTCACAGGCTTTACTTTAATTCTCCTCGAATTCCAGCTCCTTTTCCTGAGAAATCCTCCTCGGAACTTGTCACGGAATCTGAGTTTTACCAACTAAAGGAGACATTGATTACTCACCATATCCAGGAATGCCTTCTAAAGGGAAAATTATTCACGTGCATCATGCTTGCAGGTCTTCTCTCATTAATATTTTCCTCGTTTCCTAGGTGAGTGTAGTGATTTTCATAGATGGATTCCAGCTCTCTCGTTTGAACAGCTATCATGGGCAATTATTGCAACAAGTATTGAATCCCCAAAAATATCCCCCCCGAAAAACAAATAGCATTAACAAAAGCCCTTACAGGATTTGAAGAAGGGAGCATTACAAAGCACTGCGGGCACGGGTCCATCTTTAGGCTCCGCCAGTCAGTCAACATACTAATATAACCAGTCCAGATACTAATCCTAAGGGATGGCAAATATGGTCCTGGTAAAATCCAATAAAATCCAGAGTGTAAATTAATGCATCCTCACAGGAAGGACTATGCCATGTAGGAAGAGTGGAGTCAAAAAACAGTTTCTTGTTATCCTCATTAAAGGAGCATTCGAAGGGACATGGAAAACTTCAGGTTGCTGAGCCATGATGTCTTTTAGAAACGAATACTGCTTTTTCTTTTTTCTTAGGTACATATTCATATGTTGTCACTGGAACACAGTGGTGCTGTCTGAGGTCTGTTGGACAAAGACCTGAGCGGAGGGGCTGGCACCGCACACGTCTCACCGAAGCCAGCTTCCTCCCCAAATCTCAGACTGGCTACACAAGTAGGAAGGCGATGAGCAATTTCTGCTTTGCAGGACGGGACTGCCATTAGCTACCATCATGACTTCAGAAGGTGCTGTGGGGGTGAAATCCTCTTCTGCCGCCTAACCTCATAATAAGGCAGTCTGCTCCCTAGAAGTAAAATGACTAAGCTATTGATTCTTCACTGCAGAATGCCCTTTAATTTGTTGTTATCAGGACCATGTGTGGGCTTTTCATATTTTGCCTTGGCAAATGAATTTCACAGCTCCAAGTCAAACGTTGTCTAAGAATTTCTTCCCCTGCTGTCTTCCTCTTCTCTTTCTCTGCTTTACCCCCAATTCAGTTCCCGGTAGCTGTCACTCACTCTGCTGACAGAATTGGAAAGATTCTCATGCCCAAGCCATACAGACCTTGCATGCTTTTGAAACACAATGGCAACAGGCTCCTGCTGGACTCCCCTAGCGCCGAATCTGCAGCAGAACCTTTGGAAGCGTCGCAACCGCCTCCGGTGCTCGGGCTCCGCCGCCCCAGCGCTGAGCAGCCCCGCACGCTCGAGGCTCCGCGGTACTGTACAATAACTCTGCAGCAGTCCGCTCCGGCTGCAGACTGGTGCCTGACAGGGGCTGTGTGGCGTCAAGGGGGCCCTCTAGGTGGGTTCCCAGAAAGTGCAGAGCTGCGCTCCTTGCTGGCCTCCCAAGAAGCCCAAGCCAAAGGGGTTAAAGGAAAAGCTCACCCTGAAAGAGATTTCTTTCAGTAAGGAATTACCAGGCAGGCGAGAAGAGGGAAACAGCTGGAAAACTGTCATTTACCTCAGGGGGAAATGACACCTGGAACAAATAGCTATTCGCACAGAGGGAGGCTTTGGCTTTGTTTTCCACCCTGTCCAATGAAAAGAAAGGAAATAAAAGAAGTCTCCCAGAGCATTTTGCAAATGACAGGGTTTGGTCAACTGATCTTCTTAAAGAAAAAAAGAGGGGTGGGGATTGGGGGCGCCTTACTTCCTGTAGGGATTTAGCTATAGGTGTCCACACTAGGATTCTGGACAGAAAATCCCGTGCAAGCCTGTGCAGAAGTTGGTCAGGCTTCCCCGCAATTGCGCACCTCACAACGCCACTGTGGAGCTGAGCAGGGGGCGTGTAGGCTGGAGGAGGGGCTGACGGAAAGCGCCCTGAAGTCTCCTTCGCACTGCCCCCAGTGTGCTCTTTTGTTACAAAAACATTCTGTCCAATAATCCCCCGAAAGCGCCCCATCACTGTTGATGCCATTTTGGAGCAAGAATAAAATAGTAAACTCTGAAAATCGTAGGTCGGCGCTTAAATGGTGTTAGTTTGGACTCAGTAAGAGAATGAGCTCGCCTCACGGCGGTGCGCGCAGTGGGAATGCGTGGCTTTTAACTTAGGTATTTAAGGAGGCTTTTAGGGCATTGCTGAATATTAAATGCAATACCAGCAACACTTAATGCATCGTGCTGCTAGCCTTTGGTCAGGATTCCCCAGTGAGGGCCCGTCTTTACAGACACTGTCACTCAAGGTGGGGGGCGGGCCCATCCCATGCATTCAAAACCAAGGGTAAAGAAATACGCCTAGTTTTGAGGACAGCTGCGATCTGGACGCAGTGTGATCCTGGTGGACCCACTCATGCCTGGGAGGAGCAAGACCTGAGTGATTCCTGTAAGTGCAGCTTGAACCGGAGCTCCATAAAGAAGGCACTGCGAGGCAAAGAGCAGCTGCGAGTATTTGTTGGGATCCCTGAAGGCCTGCGTGAGGTCCTCACACCGGTTTTTTGCCCAGAAGGTCTAATTCTCTTCCATAGGATCATCTGTTATTTAACCCAGAAAACTTCAGCCTGAATTATTTTTAACAAGCTTTGAAAGCCTGGAATCAAACATCACAGAATAACTAAAAATATGATATCATAGTAGATATTTAAAATTACTGTTTCAGAGCTAGTAGTGAGGATAATGTTCCTGGCTCTGTTCTAAGAGCTTCACAAAATTATCTCATTTAATCCTTAAGATAATACTATTAGAGAAGGGCAGTTATTACCCCTGTTCTACGCGTGAAAGAACTGAGGTGCTCAGAGGTTAGGCAGCTTGCTAGAAAGTCAAGATTTTACTCATCATATATTTTTTCCTTGGTTTTCTTATTTATTTTTTCATTTATTTACTTATGCAGTACCAGGGATTGAACTCAGGACCCTGCACTTGCCAGGCAGGCGCTTATTCTACTGAGCTATCTCCCTAGCCCTTTTCTTATTTTAAAGAAAAACAAACAATAAAAACAATGATATAAAATTTCAAAACAAGATTGTAGGACCGCAACAATGGTTAGCACATTGCATATTGTTATCCTCAAAGTAGTTGCTCATAATACAAGATAGCTAGCAACTAGTAGTATAACTATCTTAACTATAGTCAACAACCAAGGAAGCCTAACCCCACAGGTCTTAGTAGAACATTTGGGCAGTTCTATAAGAATAATAATATCAGGTCGGCAAGATAGCTCAGCAGGCTAAAGTGCCTGCTTAGGCAAGCTTAGGCAGGCCTAGGGACCGCAGTTCCATCCCAGGCGCCACACGCCATGCCAGCCCTGTCCCTAGGGCAGACTGAGCTGCCCATGGAGTCCAGGCATAGAGGTGTAGGTCTATAATCCTAGCACTGGGGAGGCTGAACACAGGAGGATCACTATGAGTCCCAGCTGTGTAGTGAGACCCTGTGACAACCAAATACATTAAAAAAAAAAGAATAATAATATCAATTTGCATTAGTTCTTTGCTTTATGATTTTATATGTATTATATTAGCATCATAGAGACATGATGAGGTGAGTATAATGATATTGATATTATTTTATGAATGAATCTTGAAAAATATTATTCCATTGTCATATATCCTGGTAGCAGATCTGCACAGAATTCAGAATATTTGACACTGGTCAGTTTTCATTGATGATGATAATGGTAATAATAATGATAGATGTTGATTTAACTATTTTGAAAACCAACATTCACTTTTTATCTCATGTAAGACAATCAGTCTTCAAGCAAAGGAGCAAATACAAGGATAAAAAATGATAAAGAAATATATTTTTCATTTTAATAAGCACTATTTGATATTTTCTCTCTTTTTTCCCTTATTCACTCCCACCCTTCCTTCCTCCCTTCTTTTGGTCCTTTCTGCTCACCAAATACTTGATAGCAAATACATACCTGTATCTTTCTCAACCATCACAGTTCAATGTTTAATATTTGTTGGCTACATTTCTATTTGTGATCAATTATAAAAGCACCTTATAATTTTTTTAAAAAAATTAGTCATTAAGTCATTAAAGGAAACTTTAAAATGTTTTCGTACTAAGAGGAGGTTTTAAGTGAACTTTTCAGATTTTAAAATTTTTCTTTGTATATATTATTCCTGTTGGAAGAAGTATAACAAATTAGAGTGAAAGGAAATGTAACTAAGAACCTCTGTAATATAGAGGTAGAAAAGTCAAATTTCTACTTGTGGAGTAATAAGGAAATAAATGTATAATTCAGGGAACTAATACTATACTTTAATAAACCCAAATTGAATATTTCTATAGACTCAGTGCAATAAATATAAAAGGGTAGGCTTCTGTTACAGAAATAGCTCATTTCCAGTATTTGTATTATACATATACTGTAATCTATGTCTTAAAAGCTGTGGCCACTAGGTAACAAATTGATATTTAAAACAAGACCTGGCATTTGATAAATGTGCAGCCTTCAGAAATAACAGAACCAATAGGTTTGTAATTTTAAAACAAGTTCTAAAAGGTGAGTGGTGTAGACAGGTGAGAGTACTATTTTTCTGTTTCATTCTCCTAAAAGATCATTGTCTTTTCTTGGAACATCAAGAAAAGCCATAATTCCTTTGAAATCTCAATCCAGCCCCATTGTTTCACCCAATCAAGGTGTTCTAAAGAGGAGCAGGGCATCATAGTTGGACATAATCTTGGCAAGATTGCCATGGTTGTGGCCTCAGCTCTACCAGAGCAAGTTCGATTTTGTTTTGTTAATTTTGCAGATTTTGAAAATCTAAACTCAGTCTTTCAAGGATAGAATTACATTTACCACTTTCATATGTTAATAACAAAAATGGTATATCGAAGTATTAATAAAGTAAAAGTTGCAAGCTCAATGCAAACCAAAATTATCATCATTTTCATCAAAAGAGCATTCAGTGCCCTGACACTCAGAACAAAAAAAAATAGTAACTGATTAGTGTCCCTATGTCCTTTGCGATAAAGTCATTTCATGGCTAGGGTGTTACGATCATAAGAGTTATAGTTTTCAAATTATGTTCACAGGAGTCCTGTGGTTCCATAAGCTTGGATTGGACATTACAGTTTTCAAGTTATGTTGGGAGGAATCCCATGGTTCTGTAAACTTAAACTGTACCAACCAGGAGGCAAAGAGCGGGCCGGGTTCCTGATGGGGTTTTAACCAAAGGAGCACTGATTTTACCAGTCATAAATTTGGTTTTTAAAAGAACCTACTTTCAATTTTTTTTTTCAAAAAGTATGTTATTTGTTTATTTATTTATTTATTTATTTGGTACAGGGTCTCGCTTCTCAGACTTGCAGTGACCTTCCTGTGTCGGTCTCCCCAGCACTGGGATTATAGCATGCACTACTACACCTGGCTTTGGTGTCCTCCTTGGCATACCTGGGGTTCTGGGGCAGCATGGCAAGTGGTACTAGGGATAAAACCTGGGTCCTTGTCCTTGGCAGGTAGGGCGCTTAGACCGCTGAGCTGTCTCCCTGGCCAAAAACCTATTTTTTAAAATATTAAGTTAAATTACATTAAAAACAAACTCAATAAACACCTTGAGGTAGGATTACAGGATTAAAATTTCACAGGCACAGCTTTTTGGTTCTCTGAGCAGTTTTAAGATCTCACTCTCTTCAAACTCTCTCACAGCTTCCTTTACAGTAACCCAATAACTGCACTACACCTGCATGCTAGTGTAATCACGGTATGACAAGGCCACGCCCTAGTTTAGGAACTTAGGTGTCTTTTAAATACTGAAGTCACTTGTAGCTATTCCATATGATGACTTGCTCATTGATAATCTCTTTTCATCAAGTTTCAATTTCAGAAAGTGATCATGATTCTACATATTACACTTATCTGTCATCGGCCTATTCCGGTATAATCTGTAGACCAGTATCAATGTTGGCCTCAGTACAAATAAAGTTAAATCCCTCCCGTATTTCGAAGTTCAACGACAAGGACAATGACAAGACAATTTTTTATTAGTTTTATATGAATCATCAGTCCAGATATTTTAGGAAAGTCCCTATTTTTTCAAGAGACTTGTTAGCGTGTGTCATTTCGTTGTCAACACCCCATGTTATTCTTTCATTGTGTGTGAATATAATTCCATATGCAAATTTCTCTATGCATGTTTTATTCATATAGTAATACTATAAATATGTTATATTCAAGGGAAAGAAGTGGCAGTCACTTGGATGTCTTCAGGCATGTAACTTCTTGCCTGAAAACAAAAGGCAATTAATTGTTCTTAAAATTTTCTAGGGTCGGCCAAATAGCTCAGCAGATTAAAGCATCTGCAAGCAGGCACAGGGGCCGGGAGTTCAATCCCCAGGCCTGCCATGCCAGCCCTGCCCCCGAGGTGCACTGAGACAGCAATTGAGACTGGGTGTGGTGGCGTACGCCTGTAA